AAAAAAACTTGTCTCAGTTACTTACGTGTAATTACCAAATATTTGCGCATCTGCCATGAGTGTGGGAATATATTGTTGTAAAAGTTCCTTGTCATCAACAAAACTCTTGGGGGTGCCTCCAAATTCCATAAGGCGATGACCAATTTGTTCTTCTGATAATTCATCATGTTTGGGAACACGTTGCCGGGCCTTTGACTTGAAACATGAACAACATAGGCCTGATACTTCATATTATACCCATTAATAATAATGTGCAAACTAAGAGAAAGTCATTAAATCAAGTTTGGGAAATGGACTTCTTTATCTACCGGTTACAGAGAAGAATTATTTCTTTTTAAAAGTGGGGGATAAAAAGAAAATTCATCAGTAATTCCAGCATCATAATGCCACCAAAATGGTATTCTAGACTTAGAATCCCAGGCCAGTCAGAACTTTTCTCCAGATGAGATGGGTAAGATCAAACGGGTAAGAGGAAGAATAGCAGAACAGCAGCACTGGGTTTAAAAATCCACTGTAGCTGCAAAAATTTGACATCACTGTCTCTTTTTGAAATTTCGAGGATTTTTTCCGGGCTCTGATCCAGTTACTTTACTGAAAGTTGATTAAGTTCCCAGCTGGCACAGAATGAAAGAAAAAGCACTTAGGGTCAGTATTAGATTGAAGGTGCCGGGGACAGTGTGGGCAATGATCAGGGAGCGGTTGAGGTACATTTCAGAGAAATTGAGAGAGAAAGATACTGAAAGACATTGGAAGATTTTTATCCATAGCAAATAGTACACCTGTCATCATCCTCATTCAGGACCAAAATTTACCAGATGGTAAAATAATGCCTTGATTTTTATCCCCCCGTTTTCCCTCCTGTCCACTGCCCTCCCTAAAGTGTACTAAGTTACTTACATGGGGAGGAGTTGTACTTGACACAAACAAATGTATTGGTTGTAGCTTATGTTTCTCTTTTAGGTGTAGTGCAGTCATAAAAGCAATATAGGATCCCATACTAAATCCAGGAAAGAAAAAACATGGTAATAACTGTTCAGCAAGATTCACAATAATCCATTGAAGTTAATAAAAACGAGTATTATAAACACAGCAATGATTACATAATAGCCAAAAGAAAATAGTTAATTGGTTGATAACTCTAACAGATTTATAAAATGCATATTTTTGATGATTAAATCATAAAAAGTGTTTCAAAGATACCTTAGAGAATTCAGTCTAAGATTTAGTACTATTTCTATGATGTGTTGGAATTAAATTTTTTTC